GTCAAAACCATCACCAGCAGGTTGAAATGCTGTGGCAGTAACAGGAACCAAGCCACAACCCATGGGAAGGGAAACAAAACTCCACAATCACCCCTGTTCTTCAAACACTGGCAGTATTTTGTTTTTCACACAATCCCTTTGAGATGATAAACAGGATGTCACACGAGGTAGTTTAGTTATGGAAATTGAGTCAATAATGTTATCAACTATTACAAGACATTTTATAAATTGAAAGAAAACAATGAATCACAAAAGGCTTTGTTAAGGTTGATCGTCATCTGGTTTCAATTTCTGTTTCTTTTTGCCCTTGGGGGCATTTCTTCCACTGAACCATGTTGCTTCTTTCATAGACTTGTTAGAGGTCAGCTGCACACAAGCTCTTTTCAATTTCATTTTTTTCAAGGGGAATATAATTGCCTGGATTGGCCTCACCAGCTTTTTGGAGGGCTGGCTGAAACTCAGATCTGCAGATCCTGGCCACTGAGAGTGCTGGGAAGGTGCTTTTCAGCCCTGCAAACTTTTCCTGACTCTCAGTCAGTGCTGGCACCAGCTGTAACCGAACAGTTTCAGACTTCGGTCCCTTTCTCAAGCAGTCCGAGTCTACAGCCTGACTGACCCACAATGATAAATCTACACAGACTGGAAATTAAGATGCTCTGATTCTCCAGCAACTAACTGAGTGCAGAAAACACTGCCAGGGACATATTGAGAAATTCCCATTTTCCCCTTTCCCACGAGCGCTCAAACACATAAGGCAGAAGGATGAGGCAATACTGAAATACAGACAAACCTCTCCCGGCCTTGGGAGCTGATGTGCCTTCAGCAGAAATGTGAGCTCTCCCTGCAGATCCCCTTGCAACAGCCCAAGCAGCAACGTGCTCCTTCGGGATGCTTCAACCATTAAAGCACACCTAAGCCTTCAGTAGGCAAGCTTCCCACAAGCCAAAGCAAAGTTTTCTCCCCAGAAATCTCTACATGGGGCTTCATTCAGCTTTTAATGGGTCCTCCAAACAAGTCATGAAAGAAACAACAGTTGCAACATCAAAACTAGGGTTTCTCTGGGTCACATTTTAAATACTTATCCCTGAGCTTCTGTGTATTGCAAACAACACACCGTGAACCCGGAGAAACGCCACAGCTTGATACTGACATCCCATGTATTACCCTTGATTTACACATCATCTACAACTTAAAAATTAGCTTCATACTTAAACTAGTTCCCCAAGTTTCCCCCTTTCTCCTGCCTTTTATGTGGCAGGGATGATTGCCGCTTATTATCCTGAGAAATAACAACATTTTCACAGACACCAAGCTTCATAGCTTCAAATCAAAACCAAGAAAGAAGAATGAATGAACAGTAAATAGCACATTCACAGGAGATCTTTTTTTTTCCTTTTTTTTTCCATTTAAAAAAAATGTAGTAAAGGTAAAAGAAATTCAAGTTTTTTTAAAAAAAAGGTTGGTTTGAAGGACAAGACTTAAACTCCTTAACCTGAGGCGACTGTGTTCTGTGCAGAGGCCTGAAGAGCAAGATCTGATGTGTGTGGCAGAGGGAGGGACAGGCAGTGAGTCACACTGATGTGAGCTTGAGCCTTAGGGGCAACAGCAGGGTGAGGGCACAACCACCCAGGGCTCCCGCCGTGAGCAAGAGCAGCCCTGCAGACACACTGCAGTGCCCAGAGCTCTGCTCGCTCTGACAGGCTCACTCTAAAGCAACACCAGAACACCAGGAGAACTGCTGTTCCTGCAGTTGTCAATGCAACTGACTGCTTTGCACTGATCACCCTGAAAATGCCATGTTCCCCTTTAGTGTTTGTGTGATGGGAGCTTAGGATTTGAGTTACAGAAGGATCCAGAGCTGCACATCGCTGACCTGAAGCACGCACTAGCTCTGCACAGCTCTGCGGGCTAGCAGGCAGATGAGAATGATGAACACCACTGCATTATTAACAATTAGAAAGTAGTTAATGCACATGCAAAACGGCTGGAGAGTTACCTCCTGCTGCACTGGTTTTGCTCTGCCCAGAGCCCATCAGTTTCGGGATACCTGGCATCTCTGAGCGCCCTGGTTGTCCCCCAGCCCTCTCAAGGGGCTGGGCTTGCTGAGGACAAGGACTTGCTACTGACACACGCAGTGGGGTCAAGACTCAGCAGCCTGACCCAAAGGCAGGCAGTGGAAGAAAACCCAAGCGCTTTCAAAAAGCTTTTAGTCAGGCCCCAGGGTCTGGCCACTCGTGCTGGGACTCAGCCCCCAGCTGGAGCACCAGTTTCTGCTCTGTTCTCTGCACTGGGTGACCAGCTCCAACCTGTAAAAGAGCAACCAGGACACCTCGGCAAAGCCCCTCTGAACGCGTGAGTCTGAGCCCTTCAGATTTATGTCCCAAATCTCTGTTCGGATTAAAAGTAACTCTTCAGCCTTCCATCTGCACAAATGCTATGAAGGAGAGGAGGGGGTCAGTCAGCCAATTTATCTTTCAAATCGGGGATAAAAATTGACTTGTCATGGCAGAAAATTCTACCAAAGACTATTATTGTTGATTGATTCCTCTATGACAGAAGGTCAGATAAGCAAGAGCAGATAGATACCAAAGATAATGAACTTCCCCCTACTAGCATTAAGCACAAATAAAATATGAGTCCCTGTAAACCGAATGTTACGTGAAGAATGGAACAAAAATTCCAACCTTTCCAGGGTGTCCTTCAAACCAAATTCACAAATACATCTAGTGACTGACCTAATGTCTCTACATCTCTAGCTACATTCCTACCTTCTCATAATACCTGAGTTTGCAATGCAACACATTCACTTTACCCTGTTTAAAAAATACAAGTCATTAGAGGACTTGGTGCAGAAGATATTACGAATGACTGTCCGGTGAGCTAGATTCTGGTTTGATACTTTAGCTTCTTCCTTACTTGTCAGTTTAGCAAGGCTTTTCTACTCCCTAAAACAAATGGGTTATTTGGTAATGGATGCTGCTGCCAATCAACCTTTGTAAAATTTGATTCATACAACAGAAAGTAGAACATTCTTGTCCATTCGTCATCAGAAATGAATTTAGGGGTTTTGTTTTGTTGTTGTTGGTACAGCATTAGTCTTGGGAGTCTATTTTGGATAAACACAGAATACCTAATAGATTATTTTTGTCAGATACTTGGCAATATGATGACCACTTTTATGTACACTAATTAAAACAAACTCTTATTCACCAACAGATCATAATAATTCAGTAACTGCAGAATAGAATTACTCCTATGCAATTGTAACAATTCCTTGAGTGTATAAAACAGCGAGCCAGAAGATAACCCGTAATAAAAAGATCATATCAAGCTATTTGGAAATCAAACTCAAAAGCTGAGAAATACTTTCTAACTTACAAACAGATACACTAACATCTTCCCATTTACACTTGAGGTATGTATGCAGAAGGCTTTCCTGAGAAATACATGCTTGTCCCATTTGACAGTCAGAAAGTAAATGAGATTCACGGAACCGCCTTTGGATTGTGGAGCTCTGTCAAGCTGAACTGCTGCTGGGCCCAGCAGCTCTTACCCGTAACATCCTATTTAAATAATGAAAAATGAGCAGCTAGTGGACTTTTAGGATAGGGAAACCATCAAGCTGGAAGATGCCCAAGCAGGATTGCTGCCGTGGGTCCTGGGTGAGACCACGGCTGCCGACTAAGCTAGAGATGTGCCAAGCCAGTGGGTCACAGCATTTCTTGGGCTGCAACCGAGGGAGCACCTGCTGGGTGAAGGGGAAGGAAAGACGACTTTGGTGAACTGAGATTTTTCTCCTGTTCACCATCACATTCATCTCACAGCAGCTTCAGTACCTCTGAGCAGTACTCACTTTGTGCCTTCATCAGCACAAGACAAAATGGTAGCAACTGGTCTCTTTTACCCTGAAGAAACAGAAGTTGTTTCCCAAAGTATTTTTAAAACAGCATTCAAACATTTGGTGATGAACCCTCTTGCTACATCAGATTCATATCTAAGGACACAGGGAAAGAAATCCAGCCAGGGCAACACAGTTGCCTAGGAAAGTAACTGAGCCTTTGAATGTTAATTCTTAATGAAGGAGATGAGAACAAGGTGTCTCATCCAACCTCACCACCACCACCACCATAAGCTGGAAGCCGTGATGTTACTCACGAGAATACCCAAGTTTAGAAAACAACAGCACTTAGCAATTGCTCAAACAGCTAACCAGTTGTCATTAACCCAGCTCTCCACGCAGGGGAGTGGTGTGGAGCTTGTGAGACGGAAAATCCAAGCCTTGCAACACCTAGGACAGAACAGTTTACTAAGTACTGCATTAACAGCATTTTCCTGCTAGAAGGAATTCCACAAGAAGCAAAACAGCCCTGGCAGGATGAGTATGGATCATGCATTCCCTGAGTCCAGCAGAGAAAGCCATGCCAGTGGACACTGGAGTCCCTTGCCCCATTTCAGGTCACACTGAACTACAGGGTACATTAACTGTTCCCAGAAACAGACTGCTCGGGATTGGTGCAATGCGGAAGCCTCCTCAGTAGTCAGATACCACCCTGGAGGAACACACTATAAGGGGCAACCCTGCCTCTTCTCTAAGTAGGTTTTTCCTGCTTTTGTGAACCTAAAATGGATGTTAAGGAAGTGATGAGAAATGACTTGCAGTTCTCTAGCAACAAGAGCACCTTTGTATAATGCCAGGAGCCTGCTGTGAACTGCAGCAACAGAGTTTCAGTCGAATGGAGAGGTGCTGCAGCAACAGTGAGAGGCCAGTGGGTCAGGCTGGGTTGGGGAAGAGCCTACTCTTCCAGCTCCCAGGGGTAGACAGGAGCACTAAGCCCTTTGCAGCTTGGGAATATTACAATCCCGCTGGGGCAGGATTCAGGGAAACCACAGGAGCTAAACCTGCACCTGAAAACTGCCAGGGGAAAAGAAACCAACTGGCTAGACAGACTTTTCCTTCTTCTCCACTCCCTGCCTTTTAAAAATTATTATTCTATTTAAAGATAAAAAGCTTGGCACTTCTCTAACACTCACTTCTCCAAAATCATCCATCTGGGATACTAACAGCTCTGTCGATGCAGTGAGGCCATTTGCTCTCTACGACAAACGCTTTTGGATACAAATCATGGAAAGAGCAGTGCACAAACAGCATCTTCTCCTTGAGGTAGTCTTAGTCATCTTGGTCCCGAGCCCCCAAATACAAAAGAACTAACCCTAACAAACACTGTAACATTAAACATCTTCACATTCTGTAAACCGCTGGAGAATGCATCTGCTGCATTCATACAGAACCATGTGCATCGTGTTGAAGATCATACATTCAACTCTGTCGTGAAATAAATATATAGGAAAAAGAGTAAAAAAACAAAAAACAAACAAACAAAAGATTCTTGCTACAACGGCAGGGACACCACTGCCCTGTCTCCTGCCTGGATCGCGTTTGCCCCTCTCCCGGGGTGAGCCAGCTCCCTGCCCGAGGCACAGCGTAAGGCACCGGCCGGGCCGAGCTGGGCTCACTCTTTGCTCACACTTGTCTTGCAGGAATGTAGAACGGCCTTAAACAGGAGAGGCAGCTGCTCCAGGGGAACATTCACCATTTTTCCTGGTAAGAGAAAAACCAGAATTAGCAGCCACTCCTGAATCAGATTTCAGAGACACCTAAGCCAGCAAGGCTAGCAACGGTTTTACCTTGAACCTCTCAGAGAAACAGTTAATCATCCTACCGCTGCATTAGACATTTGATATTCATTTGGACACAACAGGATTTATTATTTACTGAATAGAAAGCAAAATAAATGGTCAAAGTCAGATCAAAATGATTTCTTCACAATGGAGCAGTATTTATAGAAACTGGGAAAGACTAAATCCTGTCTCTCCTCAAACTCCCTTGTTGATCTCAATGAGTAAATTATTAGAGCTATTCTGTGATTATTATCTAGTTCATTACGACAGAGTAGGATGAAGCATACAGAGCCTTGACACAGGGAGGCAAGTATCTCCCTTTGCCATAACATTCAGGAACAAACAATGTTTTAGTAACACCAGACCTTGTAGATCTAATTAGTGACACAACTACATTTGAAAGTTCACCTGCGGATTTCAGAGGTCCAGATGAGCTGAAACCTGGGGGTTACACTGCGGGTCTGCCCACTGCTCTCTCTACCATCTGCTCCATAATTAAGTAGCATTTCAGGGCTTTCTGTTTCTTATAACTACTCAAACCAGGATTGCACCCTTTTGAGGCAAAACGCCTCTGAGTTGGGATTGAAAGGAAGAAAATAAAAGGAGAACCCCCCACGGTACTTAAAGGGCAGCAGGTCAGAGCAAGGCATGGCTTCTTGGAGCAGGATGTAACACTGCATCTGCCAGCATTACAAGGACAGCTTGCAAAGAGCCAGTCTGGTTGGGTGAGCTAGGGGTGATGAGAGATGGGCTTAAAGGTGGCTGAGAAGCTTTGATAGAAGGTGGTCCCACACACACATCCTCCAAAGTCGGTAAGAATTTCACTGTTATAAATTAATTTTCTTTTAAAAGAAGCAAATTTCATAACTTGTACATGATCCCATGGGAGAAGAGCTCAGAAAGTTACCTGCAATATATCGTATCTCTGGCAAACACATCATTAAATCCGGAAAACGGTTTGGCTGGTGTGGATATTTGTACTCTGTGAAGTCCTGGCAAACATACCAGTACCGCTTATTCAGCTGCTCCAGTTGGGATGCATTGGTCAAACCCCTGATGTCTGAAAGGGAACACAATTAGAGCAATGAATGAAAACATGACAAAAACACCCTAGAAGAATGGCAGCCTCACACTTATTGCCATTTCTTCAGGAGAGACAGACTGCTTCCTGTAACTCTAAGCTGTGTCCCAGCTTCAGAGGCTGCCCAGTTCGACAACAACTAAAATTCCCATCTCCCCTCCTGGCGTGCCTGCATCATGGGCACGTCTTTACACCTATGTCTGGGTACAGGATTTCTTTCCACAGAGGGCCAGGATGAGAACAGCTAATGTCTTAAGCTGCTCATCTACAGAGCTCAACTAATGCTTTTGGAGATAACGGCTTCAGCAACCTTAAATCCTCATCTGCCTGGTGTAAAGCAGCTGTGTGTCAAGGTTTAGTCCTCACAGCAGATTCAGCGTAATACTTCCTCAGACAGAAACATGTTGATTTTAGCTATATCATCCTGGCTGAGGAAAGCACTCAACTCTATAATTCAAGGTACCATCATATTTTTCCCCATCTGTTTATGAATTATGTCATATGAGCTTTATAAACTTGTCAACTTCTTATTTTTAAATTTAGCTTTGCCAATGTCAGGCAACATACAGAAAGGAAAAATGGACATTTCCAAGCTATCAAACTGGCAGGAAGTCCCACTGCCACCCTTCAGTGTGATCAATGGCATCGGCACACTGCTGGGAGTCCTAGGAGGGATCCAGTGCCATGGAGCAAGGAAGCTGCAGACCCTTGGTGCAGGCTCGTATTGTAAGACCATCTGACGGAAGAGGCATTTATCTACTGCTCCAAAGCTGACTTTTAAAAATAATTCTCAGGTATTTCACATAAAAAATTGCAAACTTCAACTAAAAATAAAAGAAGACAGGAAGTTAATGAAAATACATTTTGGAAAACAATGGAGACAGCTCGAGAAGTGTATTATCCAGTGTCAGGAAACTGCCCAGGGAAGCAAACCGGAACCTCAGCCCGGCACAGATTGAAGCGTCAGCACTATCTCCTGCTGGAAATGAGTGGGGGAGGAGAGAGCCTGCAGCACATTTTTACAGACTGCAACTATCTTTCACAGTACAAAAGACTTTGGGGACATTTATTTCCAAAATTACAGCTGAACGCCATCCATTGAGCATTTGCCTCTCAACAGTTTTCTTCTTTTACAACACGAAGAAATGTTGACGCTGGACCACAACAAATGACCAGCGAGCAGTGGATTGAGATGATATGTGAGAGCGGAGACAGGGACAGGCACTTCTGAGGAACAAACACAATCTATTCTAAACTATTCCAGCCCACTACAGCTGTTAGGCAATGACCAGGATCTTCTCACATGTTGAAGAACTACTCTGAATGGATTTTGAAATGTCCAGGGTCTTGCAGCAGCCTGGACTGCCAGCTTTAATACCCTGGTTAATCAACAGTCCCTTCTTAGGCTGAATTAATTGCCTGCACATAATTACTACATTTGTGATTACTTTTCCCTGTGAAGAGTTAGCATTAGGTGTAGCATCTAAAAAGTAGGAAGCCAGCTAGGTGACCTAAGTATACATCCTGAGTGTAAGTATTTTAAATAGCCAGAAAAGCTTGGAACAAATGCATTTTCTAGTTAGGAATCCTCGAAAGGTTGTTATGCAAACAGCCAACATTTACTTCAGGAAAAGAAAGTGATGCAAATTAACTGTTTTTAAAATACCATTCAGTTAACTGGCTAAACAGTTACCTAAAAAAATAATACTTTTAGATTAAAAGTTTCTTAGCAGCTGGTAGGTCATCACTCACTCAACTCTTATCCAGAAAGGTTTCACTAGCCTCTCTGATCTCTTCTTATCTTGGTATTGGTACCCTTGGTACATATATAAAACGACACACTTGGTCCCTGTATTTAAAGGCAACAAAAATTGCCTAAGCAAATTAATTCATTTGCTTCTAGGATTTCCTCATGTGGGTACCCAAGTATCCTGCTCTGCGTGTGTATGGTCTAAATGATGGCAAACACATACAGGTTTCAGAGCTCGAGACGCTTCATTGATCTCAGACCTCTTCCTCTTATTTCTCGTCGGGGAAGCAAAGGTTTCTTAGACTGTTCCACAGAATTTTTCCAGTGGGGCCAACATCTCCTCTTCATCAACTCACCTTGATTTAGGAAGTTAATGGCTTTCATACACGCATACTCCTCATTGCTGACCTTCAACTGGTTAAATTTGCGAAAGAGGTAGATCAACCGCTCCATCACCTCCATCCCCTCTTCACTGAATCTGGAGGATAGAGATCACACATCAATGTATATAGGAAACAGTCCATACAATAAAGGCAAGAAGCTTATTAAAGTAACTTCAGAGATTTTAACATCTTCAAAGAGACTTAATAAAATTTGTCATCAAAACTGTCCAAAGTCTGCTGGCACCATTATTAAAATAGAAGCGAGAAGGAAAATTACTCTAGCAGACACGACTGCTAGAGATATTTTAGCAAAAAACCATCTCTTGGTGATGCAGTTCATCACCAGCCTGCTCTGACAGAGGAAAAGGTTTGACGGAGCCAGAAATATGCACAAACTGCTTGGGTGCTCATAGGCACACTGCTTTGCCTCTCTGCACTTGTATTTCCCCAGATTTCAATGAGGATTGTGCCTCCACCAGGCTGCTCTGGTGATACAGCACTGCAAGAATATGGAGCCCAGACCCTTGCTGCACAGATACTGCTTCCCAGAACAAAGTCAATTTCCAACAGGAAAAGTGCCTGCAGTTTCCTGTATCTGTAGAGTGCTGCTGGAAATAGTCTTGTTTTAAACACTGAGGAATTACTCTGGCCCATGTGCAAGTGGCACACACTTCATTTATCTGACAGGTGAGGAAGCTCACCTCCTGAAAATTCCCAGGAGTGACTCAGAGATCCTGTGCTTCCACAAAGCCTTTTCATTACGGTTTGTTAATTTTCCTCAGCTGAGAGCTTCTGGGGTGAGACATATTGCAGGAAGGCTGGGATCCTCCTCACAAGTACAAATATACATGAAACCACAAATAACCAGTGTTAAAGGAAGTAGAACTGCAGGGGATGGCCTAAGGTTGAATTGTGCAGTCTAAGGAACACATGCTGCTTCTTTCTAAACTTTCCCCCTCAAATAGGATTCACTGCACTTAATTAATGTGTATCAAGATCCAAGCAGGAAAGCACTGCTGCTAGTGTCACTGTCAGGGATCCTCTGCTGGGATCTGGATCCACCATTCGCACCAGCCCTGGAGTTTCTCACCAGGTAGAGCCAAAGTCATTTCTGAATCTGTGCTGAAAATAAGCTCTGTGTTTCTCCTCTATGTGCACACTCTCCAAGGGAAGCCAGTGAGAGACGGGCGGGAGAGCACACACTGATGCACAGGGAATGCAGATCTTCCCAAAATCTCCTGGGAAATTGCCTGATGGAGGTTTTGCAGGTGCAGAATGAGATCCTCCTGCTGATAGGGATGCCAGGCTGCTTCTTTCGGAGTGACGCCCCGTGTGCGCACCATGATAAAGCCATGGTGTAAAGTGGAGCTGGAGGGAGCAGAGAGCTGTCGGTGCCCGCAGACACGCTCTGGGACCATCCCACACGTGCCAACAGCCAGAACAGCCTCTTGGAAACACATCTCACAGCAATACCCCCAGTTTCAAAGACACCACATATTGCAAAAATGCTCAGAAGTGGGACAGAAGTGTTTAGGGAAGCTTCAGCTGCGCTCTGGCATTGTACAGCACAAAGAATAAGAGCACAACCAGAAAGCCATCTTTGAATAGAACAAAAATAGAACCTTTTTCACTGAAGAATACCTTATTTTGGCATATGTGTTTGTTTACTTCAAAGTTATTTGTAAAATGCATGGTGGAGTCTGACCTCAGAGAAGTGAAAACAAGCTGTCTGAACTCCAGGTCACTTCTTCAAGAAAGTAATATTGTAAGTGATGAAAGCCTTGTCGGCTAATCTAAAGTTGTACAAGTTTTCTTGCTCTCAAGTTGACATTAAAAATCTTGCAGGTGCAAGATTGCAAAGCTCAAGAAGTTAATGAGCACAAAGACCACTCAGTTGTGTGTTGGGTTTAATTGTTTTTAGAGCATGCACATTTTTACCAGCCACTCATCACTTCATAAATCCAGGAGAGCTCTTCTCTCACTCCTGCAGTTCAACTGTCTCACTTTTCTGTGCATACTTTCCTCCCCCTTTCAAACAAAGCTGTTCTGTTTTTCACAGCCCTATTTCTTCTCGAGGACTGACTCCTCCACACACTTCTCCTCGCAGTTTACACCAGGCAAGTTTCTGACTGAGAGTTATCAGGATCAGCTGGGGAGGAGGGGGAAGGGAAGCGCTATCAGGAGTGCTGGGGGAGGTCAGGAATCTATTCATTTCATATTCATCTCCAGAAAAACAGCACAATAAAAGAAAACATTTGATCTTGCAGACAAACAGAACATTTAGCCAGTTACTAGAAGTGATTAAAACACAGGGGCTGGGGAGCTCATCCTATGCTTTCATCGTCACCTACCTAAGCATTAGCATTGCTCCCGTCATTTTGCTAAGTAAGAACATGAATTAACCCCAAAGTACCAGACTATGGCAACTCAGTGAGACTTCTTCAGCCAGCCGTGAGATGTAATGAACTTCTATTTGCAGTCATTACTGATCAATGCCAGAGGAAATGGGGGCTCTTTGAGAAAGCCCATGAGTCAGACAGGTCTCCCAAAGAGCCCCTCCCAAATCCAAAGGGATCAGCTTCTCCAAGTGTATTGGACAGAAGACTGATACTCATGAACTATCCCACTGCCACCTGCAGTCAGCCAAGCTATGGCTGAACTACCATGAAGACCATGCAAGCCTGAGACCCCTCACCTGTGCAACTTCCCACTAAATGGCTTTTTTGGTGTGCATTTTCCTTTGTCACAATGACAATTAATGATCCTTGAAAAGCTAAATCAGAAGAGATTGCAGAAACATTCCACTCCAGAGAACACCTATTTTCATCCATGTGCACAGATCTTCTCTGAAGGACTTTCAAGGCGACCAGCTCTGAATTGCTGGTTTCTGAAGGGCGAGGATTCCTCCTTTGTCTTGTTGTCTTACTCTTGCTTGTATTTATCACAAACCCAAAATGAAAACAAACACTTCTCTTTTGAGGCTCTGACCAGGACAGCAGGAACAAAAGGACAGCTGAATGCAGGAACAAGTGTTATTGTGGTTTTCTATGACCCTTACTGTTCCTTGCAGGAGCAGCACCAGATGCACAATGAATGGCCGGGCAGAACATCACTGCAGAGGAACCTGCCCCAGGAAATGAGACACCTGGGTCCAGCTCTTGGCTCCTCCACTCCTCCACTGTGGTCTCAGCCAGCCAGCCCCTCTGGGTGTCGAAACATGCACAAAGGAACCTCAAAGAACCATAAAGATCCTGCAATGGCTGAGGACCACAGCAGTATTTTAAATCTCTGCCATATCTAGCAAGGGCAGAGGGCAGCAGTTTCCATAAACCCTACCTATTCTGCCATAATAATGCGAGATTGTGAGTCTACTGCCAGAAAGAGGATCTGTCTGGCATCAAGACTGCAAAAAACCCACCCAAACCAAAAAAACAACACCCTGACCAAAATGATAAATGAAAGGCAGGTTCCTCAGAGCACCAGATAGTACATACTATGGAAAAAACAAGAGCTAAGTTGCAACATCTTTTAAATTTATGTAATCAAAACAAAGAAACAGCAATTAATAATGAACACTTTGATAATGCAGACAACCAGCTTTGAGAACAACCTTTCCCCTGATCCAAAGGGGTTTTAAATAAGACCTTCCATCCTGAATCTCAGGGTTACGCAAAGTGTTGGTTAGTTTTACTCTCCTCAAGAAAAAGGCAGTTTGTTGGGCTGTGCTGGAGGACAGCAGCATTGCTATGGGGAATTCAAATGGCACCATGTACCTTCCCCTGAAGAAGGAAGTTTGGTTCAATACTAACTAACCACGGCATACTTTCTAAGCCTGGAACAACCACTCCCTAGAAGAAGAGGAAAGGAAAACAGCTGCAGGTGAAGTGACCTGTCCTGGAAGAGGTGGCAAGTTGCACTTAACATCTCCTCTACTTCTAGATCTTACTCCCTTACCCACAGGTTCAGCCTGACATCTTACCTGTGCAGTTCATCATCAGAGGGAGAGTACTTGGAGGTGACGTCTGCAAGGTCACCAAAGATCTGCTTGCTGTAAACAGTCAGCGAGGAGAGCAGGATGAGCTCCTGCCATGTAGAGCTGAGCAGGCAGGTATAGTCCTTGATGGAGAGTTCACAGAAGAACGGCAGCTTCTTGATCCAAGCAATCTGCCTGAAAAGCAATTCATCTGCCAGACGACACAACAACGCAAACAGCTCTGCCTGAGTCACTTTATACCTGCAGGCACAGTTAACATGAAAGCAAAAAAACCCATTAAAAACATTGAATGACATAATTTGATCAAGCACTTGAAAAGCAAGGCAAGACCCCACAAGAATTCGTGTCCAAGTGCCCAATGTGCCAGTTCCCAGGGTGCTGCAGAAGCTGTGATGGCCAGCACCCATCCTGCCCGGCCAGGGATCGTGGGAGGAGCCACCCCAACCTCTGGAGCCACCCACTCCACCAGCACCCAGCCTCAGAGAGCTCGTCAGCTCTCACTAATGAATGGAATACCCAGCTTTTTTCCATCTATGTGTATTTTGCCAGCTACTATGCGATTACCAGGCCTTTTGTACAGTTAATGTACTCTCAGGGCTGAAACCCATCGAATTCCACTCCTGCACAGGCTCAGCCCAGCCATGTAGCCTGGAACCCCATGCAAGGTCTGTGCATGCCAGCTCCAGCCCCAGGCAAGGGCACAGGATGTGCACAGGTTGGGGTCCGGTTTGCTGCTTGCACTGTGGCTGCATCTTCTCCCAGTGGACGTTCTCCCTGTGCTGATCAAGCCGTGAGCGCACGCATCCAGCTGCTGCCCTCGCTGTCAGCAGCCCCTGTGCGTGCAGGCAGGGAGAGGCAGACCGAAAGGACAGCCTGGAACACACAGCTCTGGGCAGCCTCTTGCACACTCACCCGTCCTCAATGAGCATCGGCGTGCCGAGCGGCTCCAGGTCCTCTGCTGACACCAACTGATTGATAAGACTGTGCGACTGGGGGTCCAGGCTGCGCGTCTGGGGGGGCATCAGAGCTGAGTGAGCAGAGTAGCTAAAAAGGTGCGGGAGGTACTGATAGTGCGTGGACACCGGCGTCCCGATATACTGATCCCTGAGTGCAGCGAATCCATTCAGCTCCACGGACCTACTGGAAAAAGAAAAACTTTTTAATATACCCCCCAAATTCCACCCAATTCATTAAAATGTTGTATCTAGCTCCACCAGAAATGTTAATAAAAAATATGGAAAGAAAACAGAATGAGAAATGTCTTTGTATTTAAACCTACACTGGCAATAATTTAGAGCGTGCAGACTAAACATCTTACATTTGCTTCACATTGAGCCTGGCTCCGTGTTAGTTCCACTTAACGGAGATGTGGGAAGAGCAGCTGAGCAGCCATTCGGAGAGTAACAAAGCATTTCCACCCCAGCTTCCATAAAGGCCAGAATTTAGGATTGTAAACTAAGTATTTACACAGCCAGTGAACACAAATATCTCCCAGCTTAAGATGCAACTGAAAGCAGATGGAATGCAAGTCTGAGATGCTCACTGTGTTTACAATCAAAGGCTGGCACTAACGGTAACTGGTGTTAATATAACACCATATAACACCATCAATTAGTAACCTAAACGGAGTAATTTATGTTCAAAATCTGAGCAGAGTGCAGAAAAAGAGCTTATTCTGAATGAGCACTGAAAGGTAACCAAGTTCCCACGATCTGCAGAAAAGACTATCAATGCAAATTAAAAGATATATTTTAAATACAATTTTTGGGGGGCCTTCTTTTACATCTGCTGCTGAGGGTTTCACCTCCCAGTTCAATTCTTTTCAATCCAGTGGCTGTCTGTCTTAAAACACAATTAGAGGTGTAAGAACCTGCAGTATACTCAGTTTACGCAAAGATATGCTCACGGTATATTTTTCCTACATTGACTCAAAATATCACTCAGGGAAAGGCAGTCAGGATGACTGCCATAAGGAATTCTTCCAGGGGTCATTCCCACCTTGAAGATGGAGTAGAAACAGGTGAAGGCTGGTTGCTCTCAGAAACTCCATTTCCAGGGGAACTATGGTCGCTGTCTCCGTTGTTGCTCCATGACATGTTTGCCTCTCCCTCAAATTCTTGCCCAGACATAATTCTCTCAATCTCTTCCTCTGATATCTGTCAAGCACAGGATCATTATGGTTACTTCAGCTGACAAAAAGAACAAGGCAGAGTCTCTGTATACAAAACACCTTGACCGTATGGTCACATCCAACAGAGCTGAAACCACGCCAACACCAGGAAAAACATTTTGCCATTCCTGTAGATATCACATCTTTCCTTTACATTCAACAACATACATGAAAAATTCTATTTACAGCTAATTGTGGTGACCTCCAGCAGAACAATTTAAGTGACGATAACACAGTAGGCAGGAATGGACACATGTAAAGATGTCAAAGACACACAGCAACAAGCCATAAATCATCCACTGTCACACAGTGAAAAACCTGGGAGTAACTGAGGCCAGTTCATTGGGAACATCACTCAGTACTGGCAGAGGTAAAGGCAAATGGAAAGTGGGATAGGGTCCGGTTTGACAAAGCAGTTGAGAAAGGCAAGGTGACATATATATAAAATTAGACAGGAAAACATTTACAGGGAATCACTGTTCCCTATTTTTCCCCAGAGAAAAGCCAGGTGACACCCAAAGTAATCAAGCATCTAATACTTAAAACAAGTATTGGAGAGTAATATATATGAAACTAAAATAGACTAAAAAAACCCCAAAATTAGTTTACTGGAGTATAAAGTTTTAACTGGAGAAATGTTGCATTAGTAGCAGGATAAATGCAACATAAAAGTTTTGGGGCTTTTTTATTTAATACTGCTTGTCTCTTTGCCAGGCTGTCACAAAATATGGAAAGACCTTGAGTTAACATGCTGCCAGGCAGTGCAGTGTACTCTGAACATCATTTTCAGGAGCCAAACATTGCTTAGACAGCTTATTCCAGCCTTGCAGAAGTGTCAGAAAAACTCGGCACACTTACCCAGGGACAGAATCTGAAGGGTGCAATAGCTGAAGAGTCTCACCCCAGGAAATGGAGTTAATGGCATAACCTATGGTCCAACACTGGCTGGTCACGCCTGTCCCAGATGAGCCCACTCTGGCTAGCAAAGGCTGCTGTTTTACTACAGCTACATAGCTCACAGAGGCACTAAAAATTGTTACCTGGCCAGAAATGCAGTGTTTGTTCTTCTGCGGCTTTAATCAGGAACTAATGCTGTTATAAATATGTTTGCAAACAGCAGGAAATGTTCTATCATTACAAAGAGGTTTTTTACTGTTTGAGCTAGGCTCTCTCTGATGCTGCCCACAGGCACGGCTGCACTGTCTGATTCTTGCCTTTCTCAGTTTGCTATGAAGGATCTCACTGAGCAGGCAGAGCATCTGGTCTTTTGGTTTCTCACGGTTCGGTTTTGGGCTGGGGTGACTAGCCTTTTCACAGGCACACAGAGTCACAGAAAACGCTTTCAGTGTTATTTCTATTTTATTAAAATAAATAGTAAACTCCTAAAAGACCTCTTTTCCAGAAGCAAGCTGGAAATGGCCATCATTTCTCACGTGTGCAATACAAGCTGTTGGGCTGAATTACCTTGCGCTTTACAAGACATCTCCAGACAAGCTGTGCCATCAATCAGCAAGACATTTACCGGGTGCCCCGCTTGCAAGAACTGAAGGAATTGCAGCAGGCAGCCCCTGAGATTTACTGGGAGCTGCGGAGCCGTCCTTGTGCAGCTCACAAAGGACAGAGCACCTCGAGCATGCCCGAGAATTCACACAGGCACCTGGGACTGCTCCAGGGACAAGCTAGCAAGGAGCTTTACTTACAAATCTACAGTTGACGATGTATTTCTAATGCTTGTGGAGAGCCAAAGCCCTGCTATGCCAGCAGGAGGCAGAGCATGGCTGAGAGGCTCAATCAAATCAACCCCAGCCCCATCCCAAGGTGCTGCCACAGTCTGAGCCCATCACTGCGAGAGGAACTGTGTGCCAAGGCCAAGAGAGCAAAAGCTGAAGGGAACCATGGAGAAACAGCCAGACGTGCTCACCTGGACAGGTCCGATGCTTTTGTTTCTGCCTCCTGGCATGCCATCTTCTCTGATTGCTGAAAGAAAACAAGCAAACCTTGGTGAGGAAGGCTACTGTTGGGTATTCCAGAAGTATATAAGAAGGTATCTACCATTTTGAAGAAAAATCTTTGTGCCTTAAAAGATTCATTTTGTTCATCAAAGCAGTTTACACAGAAACCTCCGGTGCTTTCCAGGGCACTGGAGAGCTCAAGCCATACATGCCATGATCCTCACCCTAACAGTAAAAACACACTGATGTGGCTACAAGTTTTACCCAGGGACTTTAGTTTTCTCATGTGGTGCTGGAGTGACAGGTAAGGAAGGAATAGCAATTCTTTACCACAATTAATTCCAGCATCATTTGAGAAATGGCTTTCACCTTGGAAATAACCCAGTGAATGCTCACGAGTGCTAGAAAAGAAAACGTGAATGCCTGCATTCCTAACTGCACTGCCCACCGTGAACCACCATGAGCCAGGCTCCACCTGGACAGACACGAACCAGTGCTGCAGCAACACAGAGATAAAGCACCTCACTGGTAACTACTAACACTGCTGTCACTTCAGAGGGTCAGATCTCCATGGCTGTCACGGAAAACGAAGGGGAGATTTTACGCAGCCGGCCGCACACAAAGCTGTCACTGAACACTGGAGTTACTAGGCCGAGCTCTGCAGTTTCATTTCAGAAGGGCAGCCCAGTTTCTCAATACAGCAGCTGCATTTTTAAAGCTCTTTAAACAATTTCCAAGGAACTTCAATGAAGTCCAATTAAGGGGATTATCCTGGAGATGCTTCTCCACCTTCCTTTTCCCTCTGCTTTAATCTTTATTGGCAGAGCAGCTCTGCAGAAGCTGACAGCATACGAGGACCAGCCCTGCTCCGGGTGTGCTGCCTCTGCTGGGCCAGGTCCCCCTGTTTATCAGGTCCCAATCTCTTTCCCACCACGACCTGGCCAGACTTGGCAGGAGGCTCTCCCCAGCTGCACAGTGACCTTGCTGCTGCTGGCTGGCCTGGCCCTGCTTGGCACACGGGGCTGCAGGAGGCCCTCCCGAAGCAGAAAATGACACAAAATGTAAGGAAAAAATTGCCTGTTGCTTGATTTTAGACACCCACAGCTCAAATCATCCTTGTCTGTGCTTGCAGCGCAGGGATTACACACATTCAGCTAAGGCAATCACCGCAAGGTAGAGCTGCACACACCTCCACTTGCACCTAAACTGCGTTTTCCTGCATCACAAACCCCTCGTCAATCAATGCACATCACTACAAAGAGTCTGATGATTTACAACAATCCCTGTGGCACCTTCCAACAACACGTTATGAGATCAGCAATACAGTTTCAATCCTTCTAACGCAAACTCTATCACCTCCATGCAACAGCGAGTAGTTTTGTTTAAAATGCCAGGCAGCATTCACTTAAGCACACTGGAGAAGACACAGACACAGAATAGAAACCAGCTGCAACTACCTGTTACATCACACAAATCTCTTAAGATACAGCAAGATAACAAGCTCTTTTTTACAAACAGGGCTGTTCATTTTCTATGAAAGCTCTTTCCAGAAAACCTTAGTTTCTCATTAAAAAAAGTGTGACTGGTATAAAACTGAGCTGTCCTGGTTACCTCTCTGTTACTCCCTTTAGGGTTTCTTTTAACATAACGGAACTATGGTAACTGTTTTCCCATTTTGGGGGAATTTCTCTACTTTTCCAAGATACTTTAGTGCTAACTGTGATTCAGATAGCTTCTCAGCCAATGGCATTATGAGCTATGGGCGTGAATTGTCTTGGTCTTTTGATTTTCAAGTGCTATTGGAGGAAAGGGTAAGCGGGAAAGAAAGAAGAGGGAAGAACAGAAGGCACCGGA